CTCCTTCGCAGTGTTCAAAATTGGTCGAGTAGAATTTTTTCTATTTTGAAAACAAAAGGTGCTTATATTAAATAACATTTTTTGTGCAGGTTATAGTAGTAACTATGTTGTGTGTTATGCCATATTTTGATTTTAAATAAAGCTTGTCAGATACTATAAAGATTAAGAGTAAAAGCCGGCCATTTATTATGGGGCACCCGTTAATACTGTTTCGAATTTCGTTAATTGTCTATTAACAATATATCTCTTTGTTTTCGAGCTCTGATTCAAAAATGTGTAGCCTACCGTTGGTTTTTTCTGTTTTGTTTCGATTGTTCCGTACTATTCTGCCATGGATCTCTTTCTTGTGGTGATACCCTACTTTGTCGATTCAATGCGAAACTGGCTTTTGAATTCCAACTATCATTCGGAAAAGAAAATGATAGATTTTTCTGTGTGAGTGGAGAAACTGGTAGTGAATTATGGACACCAGCATTATCGATGTTATTGTTTGGTAGAATTGGTTTCGGACGTACACGTACAACACGAGGTCGACATGGAGCAGCAGAGATACGAGATACTTGCATACTCTTACCTTTGTGAATCGAAGCAACGAATGATTATTTTTGTAATTGAAATACTCTTGAAATTTATTTTATTTTTGTTGAGTAGAGCCGTTGTGAAATTTCGGTACTCAGTACGAAAGAACGCGATCGAAATAATAAGGAAATAAAGTTCTTTTTTGGTTAATAGAAAAATGTCGAAAAACAAAATAACAATAGAGAAACCATCCATGGCAAATCTAATTTCAATCATCATTATTTCGATTTCATTCGTCAGAGACATGTAACATACGATAATACACAATAATACAAATGAGCATAGTCATGCACCATCTACATGTGTTCGATTTCTCCGTGTATCTCTTTTCTAATCAACAGACAGCAAGAATTTACACATTCCACTGGATCACATGCCAATTAGATTAATCATAGAAATTAAATTAAATTCGAAAAACGAAAAGTTAATTAGACTAACAGCTACGATGTGAAACTCTCTTGTGAATACTTATGCCTACAGAGTACTGATCATGAGAGGCATCAGATCTGTAAGAGCTAGCACATTGCCGATATTCACTATTTCATTTTTGATTTGATAAAAAGAAAACGTGTATTTCTAAAGATCTTGTCTTACAAGTTAACTTTTATTTGGCAAATCTTTTCTGAATGAAGATCGAATTGCATCGTTCAATTTTAATTCATGTTCTGCTGATCATGTTAGCTTATTATAAGCAATATATATATATGAATCCAAAATGTATTGCTAAACGTTACGGGACATATCCAAGATACTTTTCAAAACACCCTCTTCAAGAATCAAGAGGTAATTCTCGGGTTTGGGATGATAGTAGTGTGTTTGCCAGGGATAGACTTAGACGAGCAGAACAGTAGCGCGCTGCCCACAGCCAATCACATCTTGAACAGCAATCAGTTTTATGTTGCCATGAATGATTTTATTCTCAACCAGAACAGTGTTTCTTTCATTAATAGGGCATCCTACAGTATTTCTTTGCATTGATGATTAGTACATTTTTTTGCGGCCAAGTAATAGTTGGCTTCCAGATGTCAATACTGATTATGTTTTTTCTTATTTCTCTCTCGATCAGTAACATCAGTATGAATTCTCAAGAGCAACATTCTGAAATAAAAATAGACTTTATATCGTATCATTACTATTCAGAAATCAGAAGAGTAAACAGATTAATTCCTCTGTACCAAGTAAAAAAGATGCTGTAGCTTTGACGCATCTCTGAGAGTTCATGAATAGTGCTTCTCGCCCATGTGTGTTAACTTCTGCATTAGAATTTGCAAATGAAAGAATATTTTTCTGTGGCGGCTTATGAATAGTTAGCCAATACACAGGCAGACATAAATCGAAAACATGGAATATGGTTTGGTGTGCCAATCTTCGTCTTGCTCATACTATATGTGAACAACTGCGACTAGCAAATGTTTCCGCGGTATTTGACAATGGCTGGCATGCTCATCATTTTCAAAAATAAAGACCATGAAGATGCGTCGGATACATATGCCATACAGGACTGCCAAGTGCTGATTTTCAAATGTGGTACATCAGATTTCAAACGGGGTACAGTTGGGGTACAATCTTTTTTTAATGGGGTACTCAATTTTTTTCTAAATGGAAAGAATTCGTTTGGAAAAACTATCTGAAATATGTTTTCTCTTGAAAAACAACATGCATTTTTCACAATAGAACACTGTCACAATTAAGTAGTAATTTAAATAGAAGACCTATAATTCACAAAACAATACAAAACTTCCAATCAAGACATGCTACATATTGTAATCAACTGGAGCAAGGTTTTTTAACATGACTATATTTTTCTTGTCGTCGAGCACATTTGATTAATTCAGGTTTATTTTGAAAAAATGTAAAAAACTCATTACAATTCAATCGTATTTTTAATTCAGCAGCTACAGTTTCACCGTAAGGAAAAAAGAAAAAACTCATCAAAATTTATTTTGATCTGAAGATAAAAAAAATTTAGACACAACAAGACTAAATGAATAAAACAGATGCCAATAATTACTGGCTGATTTTTCACCAATATTGTTCACTATAAATATCGCTATAGTGACGATATGAGCTTCATTGTAAAACACAATTTTTTATATATCAAGAATCAGTTTATGATATGAAAAGCTTAAAAACCCGAATGGGATACAAAAAAGTGTACCCCAGGGGTACGATATTTTTGGGGGTACGAGATGGCAAAACGAGGTACACTTGGCAACCCAGATACCATATGACAAATGTTGAAAATTATTTATTGACTATAGTCTTCACGAAAGCAAATCATATCACAACATCATGCATAAAATTCATCAGCAGTACATTAACGAGGCTCGAAAATGAACGATTATTAAAAATAATGAAAATCATTCTTTTATTGCATGAAGTACACTTGATTTGTAAATTATACGAGTAGCTACGATATTGGTCTACTACTAGTTTGTAATTATTTGTTTGGTGTAATAACATATGAATTCAGATTCACGATAGACAAATATTGTAACAAATTTGATGCATTGGCATGATTTTACTTATAGTTTTAGCAATAGCAAACAAAGCATATAATTTAAAATTTAAAATCATTTTGCATTAATGATCGCATCTGAATGAAAATTCTGTTTTGCGGTAACAAAATGTACGAATACTTATAGCTATACCATCTTTGTTTTTATTTGACTCTAGCGTTATTTATTCGAAGAATTCACAATAAAAATACCTGAAGAACTGAATTTCTGAGAAACTTATTATACAATTGATCATATTAATATTAATATTTTTCAGAGTAAACATCATGAATGCTTAGTTTACACGACAAGCAGCTATTGCACCAATGTATTGTAGGCAATGAGTCATAGAACACAATTAGGCGTTATCTGCTTACTATATATTATGTATTTCTTAAATTCAAGTATTTTTGTTTTTATTTTCGACATACAATACAAAGAAGAAGCAAATTATTAAAAGAAAATGATACAAAATCAAAAGCTTGAAAGTTATAGTTAAAAATTCTGGATTATCTTCAATAATGAATCAAATTTGAAAAGATTCTAACGACGAAACTGTATAAGATAACGCAGAGCAACTTGTGCTTCATCATAAACGATATATTCATTGTAATTGAGGCCATAATAGCTTCCACCAAAATCTTTATTATCAATTAATTGGCCAAGTGGTATTTGTACACCTAAAAGAATGTAGATTTTCTCGAATAAAATCTTTTCAGTTTAAAAACAAACCTGAATTTCTTGTAATTGTATGTTTTGGATCAGGTATACGTCGACCGGCACCTTTTCGACTTTGAAATCGTTTTAAATCGAGTGGTTTATCATCATTATCATCATCATCACCATCATCATCATCAGTCCGAATTACACCAACTTCTTTAATGTTTCCTAAAGCTACTTCACATAAGAGCATAAAACATCGTTCATCATCATTCTGTTTAACGCCGGAACAATAACCAAGACTTTTTGCAAATGAATCAGCTGTGTAGATTCCCTAGAAAAAATGTAAAAGGAAAAAATGTATTCATTTGGTAGGACAATGTTTCATTACTGTTCCAAATAAACTTCCAGTTGCTCGTGCAGCTAAAGATCCAACGAGAAGTCCTAAATTAGAAGAAGAAAATTGTCAATGTTTTTTATTTGCTAAAGACAGATGATTAATGAGGAAAAAACGATCCGAAGATATATCGACAATATGTGAAATTCTCAAAAATTACTCAAACACAGCATATAAAATACCTCGAGAAAGTATACTGATTAAATTACAAATACCAGTTCCATGCCATAATAAACAATGATTATTAATATTACATTTCGTCAATCGTTCATCTTCATTGAACCGTGCGACTTTAAATATTTGTTCTATTTGGACATCAGGTGAACTAGTCGATACATAACGTAAGATGAGTTGAGAATCAATGTCATCTTTAGTTAAAGCTTGAAATTGACAATTCATTGATTTATATAAATAATCTAAGGGTGAAATAGACTTTATATTGGCTTGTGCACCCAATAAGATTTTATAGGATAATTCAAGTTCAAATAAATCATCTAGTATTTTTTCTTGATCTTTTAATAGATTTTCATTATCAAGAACAGCTAGTTTTTCGTCAGCATATCCATTGAATGGTATTAATGTATAATATTCATTTGTATATTGATAGATCGAATCTAAAATTGATTTTATTTCATTTTTTTGGTCGGCTGTTTTCTTAATTCGATTTTCTGCGTTAAATTCGTTTTTCTTCTGAATAGTTTCTTTAATTTTCATTAATAAATCACGTGCTTTCTCTAATGTTTCACGTTTTAATTGCGATACAGGCATCCATTCAATATCTAATTTCGTTTTATGAATCTTATTGCGAATAGCTTGACGATTAATTAATGTTTGCATAAGATTCTTATAGGCAGACGATTGTAGTTGAGATGAAGCTCGTGCTTGTTCAGTTTGTAAACGATTAAAATCAATGGGTACATTTGAATATTTTTTCATATCATGTTCATTCATTCGTACTAATGAGTATTTTTTTGGTTTTGCTTCAAATTGATCGGTATCTTTCCATAAATTTCCAGTTTTTTCCCGAAATACCTTGACAAATTCTTTTCGGCATTCATCAAATGTTGAGAATGGTGTTAGTTGATGTTGACCTTCGTCATTACCCATACGACCCCAACGAGTAAATAAAAAGTATAAATTATTTTTACTTTTATGTTTAATAATTTGCATACGATAAAAATTATACAATCCATGTGTACCATAACTAACGTCAGTTTTTGTCAAACGCACATCATATGGCTCATTTTTATCGTCATCAATTAAAACTTCACCTGTTAAACTCATACCAGATAATTTATCGACTTTGTATTCAATATTAGATTTATTTGCTGGATGATTTGTAATATATTGATCAATAAAATTTTGAGCATCATTATAAAAATCTGTTTTATCCAAAAATTTTTTATTTGGATCATTTACATCGAATTTTTGTTTGGTTGCTTTGCTAAAGTTTGCTCTTTCATTAGTTAATTTTTTTAATTCAGTATGTAAATGTTCACAATTTATTCTAATAGCATAGTCGAGTGGTTTTAAACCAGAACTATCAGCTATGGCTAATGAAGCGCCACATGAATGAAGCAGACGAAGTATATCGATGTTATTTTTATATGAGCCATCAGCAAATGGTTGAACTAAATGATGAATACATGTTCGACCATCAATATCAATTGCATTTAAATTAATTGATGATGTTTTTTGAAATTTTTTCGTTTTATTATTATTTAATGTTGCATTTGCATTAGAATTAGTTGTAGTAACACCAAGAAAAAATTTTCGTGGCCCGCCTTTCGGACGACGCCCTCGTAAACGTTTGCATGTTGGAGCTATCGATGTTGGATTATCATCGGGTGAATAATTTTTATTCAAAAGTAATTTCACTATTTCAATATTATTCTAGAAAGAGAAAACAACGCTTGTTGATTTAGGTTCCTATGAAATTCCTAACGCCAATAGATTTTTCTGTGTGAAACTTTCATATTCTGCTGCTACTGCTCAAATGGACAGACGATGCTTAGTTAAAACCTTTCAATCGTTTACTGTCTCTATGTTGATCGATGATATTTTTAACATGATAATCTTAAATGACTTTTTAATCCGCAGCCCTAACAATAGATGCTGTTGCAAATCATATTTTCAATCCTTTTTGCAGAAAATATTTCAAAATTGTTTACCTGAACAACAGCATGCATGAGTGGTGTTTGTTTATTTTCATCAGGAAAATTAATATCAGCCTTAAGTTCAAGTAAAAACTTAACTAATTCAAAATTATTGTGAACAACGGCATGAATTAATGGTGATGTTCGTACTTTAATTGATTTATTTGGTGGATAAAATTTATCTTCATTTGACGAATTAATATAACCAAATGATAATGGATCGACAATTAATTCATTATCATAATTACATAAACGATCTAATTGTTTCCCAGATGTTATTAATAAACGAAGTTTATCATTTAAAAATGATTCTTTAGCTGGCAATGACCAAAATAATAAACTGTAAGCTGTATTACCGAATGCATCCAACTGATTTAAATCAAACATCTTAGGATATTTTTCACGTATGAAGTCAATAAAAATAAAATTTTGTTTAACACATGCATAATGTATTGGATACGAGCCATGTTTATCCAATGTGTTCCAATTAAATTCATAATCATAAATAAATAAAAGAATTGGTTTCAATAAAGTTTCATTGTATTCATTCATATTTGCAATCAAATGAAATATATTTTGTTCGCGAGAATTCGTTTCGTTAATGTTAATTTCATCTTTTAAACGTAATAAAAGGCGATGTACAAGATTAAGTTTATTATTTATTATAGCTGCTTCAATTATTTGCAGATAAGTTAAATAAAAACGATCGGTTTCATTCAGAATTAATGATAATGCACCTTGCCAATCGCGTTCAATAATTAAATGTATTAATGAATATTGATTGAATTCTTTCGAATTTTTTATTTCACTAAATTTCCATTTCCAAATTTCACCTTTATCAATTTTTGATGAATTTTCTTTTTTTGTAACTTTTTTTTGTGTTTCAAAAGTAGTTTTCGGTGATGAATTTTCGATTGGCAATTGATGCAATTTTCCCAGATCAATATCCAAAGTTTGTTGAAGAAATGTAATAAATAAATTCAAATGATTTGATGCTATACAAGTACCAATGATTGAATTAGATAAACTGTTTTCAATTGATAAACTAGCATGATTTTGTTGTAAGAGCATTACACATACTGTAGAGCATTTTTCCTAAAAATAAAACAACATGCAATGAATGTTTTGCTGAATTTTTATAAAAAAAACAAAACAACAGAAAACTTACCACAGCCAAATGTAAAGGTGTATCGCCGTGATTATTTAGTGTATCCATGGACTTGTATCTCATTGCTTTCATTATTAAAACACATAATTCAACAGGATCATCACCAACTTTTTTATTTACAAAAACATTATGCAATGGTATATTTCCTAAATTATCTTTGAGCAATAAATCACTTCCATTTTCAATTAATACTTTTTCGACGTCAGTTATTGCATCAATAGTACCTAAATTATGATAGACAGCAATATGTAAAGGTGTACGTTGATGTTGTCCTGGAATATTTAGACTATTATTAGACGTGACTTTTAACTTTTTAATAAATAAATTTAATATATCTAAATATTCTCTTGTACGATTTGATGTTTGTAAATAATAATGGATGCCTTGATTATTATTATTATCACATAATACAATGTTACATTGTTCATATTCTAATAAACTATGTATTACAGGTAATAATTGTAATTTACATGCTAAAATTAATGGCGTTTTATGATATTCATTTAAAAGATTTGATGTTGATAAATTAATATCACACGAGGCATGGTTAATTAACATTTGTGCTGTTCGATGTTGTTGAAGATGAATTGCTTCTAATAATGGTGTACGATGAGTTTTATAATGAAGCACATTAAGATTTTTTGTTTTTTTAAGAAAAAATTCCAGTGGATGTTTGATAGTACTATCAATAAATGGAACAGTACGTAGTAGAAAAAATATGCTTGTTTCTTTTAGTTTTAAATCCAATGTTTCATTATCCATAGGAGTAATATCATCTGTTTGTTCATTATTTTCACTTGATGTTTCGTCTTCTGCTTCTTCTTCTTCTTCTTCTTCTTCTTCGTCGTCGTCGTCGTTTTCATCATCTGCTACGTCATCATCTTCATCATTGCCATCTTTGGTAGATTTTTTAACGTCATCTGCTGTTTTTATTTCAATATCAGGATCACATTCAGCTGATTCAAGACAATATTTAATCATTTTTACAATGGATTCATACGATTGTTTTAATTGATCAGTACCTTTTGAAAACTAAATAAAAAATTATCTATTTATGTAATTCATTTATAATATTACTTTTGTCTTACTTTATAACGTTGACAAAATTCATTAAATTTCGAAGAACAATAATGAAATGGTGTTCGACCATCATTATCAAATATTTGACCCATCTTTTTAATTTCATCATTAATTGGCTAAAACACGAAAAATCTTCAATAAAGTATGACAGCGAAAAAAAAAACAGAAAGAACTTACTAATTTCATTAATGTTTGAATAAGTTCATGTTTGTGACATTGTTTTGCAAAATAATGTAAAAGTGTTTTACCATCATTACTAATATCGGACGTAATGTCAATTTTCGCTTTATTAATTAAATAGTCAACAAAAATGAAATTTTTTGTTTGAAGAGCAACCATTAATGGTGTTTGCGCTTTATTGTTCATTTTATTTGGATCACATTTATTAGCAAGAAGAATTTCAGCCATTTTGCAATAATTATTATGAAGAACTCTTTTAGCGTCGTCATCCTAGAAAAGACAATTCGACCTTAGAAGACAATCGATTTAAAAAGAAATGAATCTATCATACCATGTATTGTGTATTTTGACCCGTTGTATTTGCAGCAAAATAATGTAACTAAATAACAAAAAGAAAAACAATAATATGAACTTCATAGCATTCCTGAAACACCATAAAACTTACGGCATTACTTCCATTAGCATCAACAATCGTACAATCAGCATTATGTTTCGTTACAACATATTCAAGTTGTTCAACAGCAGATGATGATACTTCGAGACCGACAGTTAACATAACTAATGTTAAGCCATCTTCATTTTTAAAATTAATATCTACACCGTGATCTGTAAGAAGATAATCACAGAGACCATAGTGTCCTTTTAAAAATCCAATTGCTAAGCAAGTTGTTTGCCATGAATTAACACAATTTAAATCTGCTCCTGCTTCAAGTAATAATCGCACACAAAAGTACCATCCATAGGCAACAGCATAATGTAAAGCTGTGTTCAATGATGAGTCAAACACATTGGCATTGGTACCCAAACGAAGCAAATATGAAACAACATTGGCATTTCCACACATACATGCATGTATAAGTGGTGTTCGTTTAAAACGATCACGAGCTTCGATTTTAGCTCCATGATCAATTAAATCTGAGACTATATTTAAGTAACCCTTTTGACAGGCTAACATTAATGGTGTTAATTTTCCCGATGATGTACTGGTGCAAGCATCAGCATCAGCACCATATTCGAGTAAAACTTTTAGACAATTCTATACAAAAATCTTCTTCGTTTTTTTTTTCTCAAAAAATAAAAGTTTACGTACTAAATGATTATTAAGAACAGCTAAATGTAATGGATAAAAACGAGATTTATTCATACGATTGATTGAAGCAAGACCAAACTTTTCATCAATTATCTGATCTTCAGCATCATTTGCTGCAGCTTTTTCTTTTGCTGTACGTAATAATAATTCAGCATTTATAGCACGACCATTGATAACAGCAATATGCAATGGAGAATTACCACCACGATCGACATCATTAAAATTAACTTGTCTATAAATGAAAATAAAATAAAATAAAAATTTTATTTTTCTTGTTTATTTTACTTTGATAAAAGAAATTCAAGTGGCTCAGGTCCTTCGCATGCGGCAGCAAAATGTATTGGTCGTCGTTCATATTTATCAAGAATATTATATTCTGGCATTATATTTAATAGTTGTTTCAAATATTTTGCATTTGGGTTTATTGCAGCACAATGTATAGGTGTTATCTGAGTAGACAGATATTAACTATTAGTTCAAATAGAAAACTTCGAAAATATTTACCATAAAATTAGCTCTCGTCTTTTTAATCGCACTTGCTGCACGATTAATTTTTATATCTTCATTATCGTAGAGTAAAACCTATTAAAAAATAGAATAATTATTTATTTTTCTTACTTATCTATTTAATTAAGACAAACTTGATGATGAAGATAATTAAAACCATGAAACATATTATCTTTAATTTCATCAATAATACTTGCAGCTAATTTATGGTGGCCAGCTTGAATTATTTTATGAATATTATCATAAATGCTATGACTCTAGAAAACATATATGATGATTTTTCAAATAAGTTGGCAGCAAATAAAGCTTTACTATATTTCCGAAATGTTTGCAAAGTAACTCGTATATTTGACGTGAGCAATTATTTTTTAAAGCGTACGAAATAATTTCAGTGCCATTAACAAACTGTGATGTGGACATGTTATCCTGAGACAAGAGAAGAAAACATTTGAAATAAATTCTTAGATAAACAATAAATGAATTACTTTATTTAATGCATTATTGCCTTCTTTAGCACCACGACTTGCCATTAAAGTAGCTGTACGAAAACCGAATGTATGAATATTAGCTCTAAATTAATGCGATTGATTTTAGAAATATGACACGAACGATTTATTTATTTATTTACCTTCCGGTAGTTTGTCTTGTTACTGACACAGTTGGAAAAGGACACCGTTTTTTTTTCGGTGTTTTAATATCATCGAGTAAAATTTTAACCATAGTAACATTATTATTTTTGATTGCATAATGCATTGCTGATAAATCATTATAGAGACTTCTGTTTACATGTATCTATGAATGTAAAATAAAATTCTTGTATTGCTTTCCTAATCATTATGCTTTTTTTTACCGAACAAACATGATCAACATCGTTAATGAGACTTTTCAAGAGTTTTGCATCATTGATAAGTACAGCACGAATAGCTAATTTGCTTTGAACAAATGACGAAATAAATGGTACAGGTAAACTAAAGCAAAAGAAAATTTCGCGTTATATTTTTCGAAAATATTTTATAGAATAGAAAATAATTTTACTTGTCTTCAAAGAACGGTTCTTTCTGATAATTTGTTACAACTGTATTTTCTTTGAGTGAACCATTGCTATGTACTTTAAACAATTGTGTTTTTGGTACTTTAGGAATTTTTGTTGCTAAACATGTATGATATTAAACTGAAAAATTCTTTAAAAGAATTTCCTACTTTTTTTCTTTGGTTTAACTGTTTCATCGTTATTGTCGGTTTTTTTACGAGCACTTTTTGTTTGTTTTGGTTTTACCCGACGGGATGTGGAAGTAACACCAGATACTCGTGAACGACGTTGACCTATTCAGGCAATCAAAATCACTGCAATCTTTTGGATTTGAGTAGTCTCAGTTTATCTTAGATAGGTGTAAACACATCAAAACCGTTTCATATATTTCAAAGAAATTGTTTCTCGCGATCGTAATATAATTGTTCTGAGACGCTCAGATAGAGTATTAAGCTGATGATGTTACACTATCACTTGAATTTTCGAAAATGAAGTCACTTACCAGCTGTATTTTTCGATGTTTTACGTGCTCGCTTTTTTCCCGGTTGTTTACGAACTTTCTCTTTATTTGATGGTCGTTTTCGTTTTTTATTTTGTGATGAAATCGCTATCGGCGATTCTGAATCCGAGGAACTTGAATCGCTAGTTGATTCGAAATGTAAATGGCTTTGCGTCTTCTTTGGCTGATGATGTTCGGTTTCCATCATATCATCAGATGAGAGTGATTCATCACGAATCGATTTTTCCAATAAACGTTTTGTTTCAGTAATATCTTCATTCTTTAATGACATTGTATTGTCATCATGATACAAAATATCTGGTACACTAAGTAAAATTGTACTAGGATCAAGTGTATCCGTGTAATCCAAAATGAAACGTGTATTGGTACCAATTGGTGTATCATCACCTTTTTCACCGACAATGGAACACCAACTAATACGAATCTTTTTCGTATTCATATACACATCTTGTAAAATTAGGCAAAGATAAAATGAATTGGATACATTTCGACAAGTAACAAATGTGTTTTTTTTATATAAAACATTATTATTATCATCGTCTGATGATGATGATGATGATGATGATGATGACGATAATGGTGACGATGACTTTGATAATGTACCAGTCGTCTCATCCGATGATGAATCTACTGAAGAAGATGATGATGATGCATTACCACCATTGAATTGACGATAATTAATTACAATTGGACTAGTACGTCGGTTGGATTCAGCATCCTATAAAACAATCTTCTATGCATAATCTATTGAATCGAGAAGCAAGCTTTATGAAGAATTCAAAAGGTAAACATGTCATTCCGCCTATTATGCTTCTCGGCTATTCATTATTGGTACGACAAGTATTCGTATTGACTTCAATTCCAAAGATTTAAATCCATACTTCAAAATCCGATCGTTTTTCTTCCTCGTATTTTCGATACATACTTTTTTCAAAATAAGAAACTCTATCAAACGTAATAAGAGCTGCTGAGAAACCTTTCAACTTACATTCCAATACTTTCCATCTAATCCAGTTTTTACAGTTCTATTTCCAGATCTTGTGTCAGTACTGGCGTTTTTTGATTGAATTTTATTCTAAAATAAATATTTACTTTGCTATGATACGAACCAGTGGTATTTTTTTGTTATTACTCGTTTATTGTTAACAGTTGTCATGGCTTCGTCCTTTGCAACTGAATGCCGATCTGATAAATCCATCATGTCTTCATTACTTTCCTCTTCCTCTACACGTGGTTCTTCAACTTTACGCGATCTCTAAAATAGGAAATTTAAAATAACCTTGAAACTCTGTGAAAGAAACTAACTCTAGCAGTAGCAGCTTTAAAAGGTGTTTTTCTGTTTACCATTTTTTGTTTGTTCTCGTTCCGCCAACTACTTACGTTTGCACAAGCGGTTTTTTCTTTATTTCTAAAAATTATATAGTATGTTATGTTAATTATAATAAAAAAAAAAACAACTAAACATAAAGTTCAATCAGTTCCCTGAGCTGAGCTAAATATGAATATCTGAAGGTTACATGTAAAATCCACGCTTATATATATATATATATCGAACTACCCACAAAAAATGTATGGAACAGAATGATAAAAATTGTTTCACAACGGTGGTGCAATACTTTATTTTGCGGTTTCGCCATTGTGTAAATGTCAAATATGTGACAATATTTTTTTTTGTATGAAAAGCATTCATCGATTAGTATTTTCATATAGATGGCAATATTTTACATAAATGAACTAAAATATGATAATTAGAAAAGCAGATCAAAATCATGAGTCATTAACGTCAAATTTCGTTTCTTGTTTATGAAATGATTTGTACCTCATTACTTTCATCCCATCGTAGTTAGATAGATGAGATGAGTCTATTTCATCGGCTCTATGAACTTGTTTTTTCCCCATAAATTTAAATCCATTAAATTAAAAAATAATATTTTTGTTTGTATGTTCTACAAAATGCATTAGCTGATGAAGAAAGCTCTCCAACTGATCGACCTATTCTTTTACACTGATATTTAATATTCATGCAGGTAGACGGAGTTTATCCAATGGAAAATTCTAAGAGGGTTTAAGTCGATGCGATTTCTTTCATAAAGAAAATAAGTCATATCAATAAACTTCTTATGATTCATTTGAGAACTGAACTAGCTTCCCACAAGTTACAAGTTTATGTCATGAACATAAATAAAGCTTAATAATACTTGTTCTTGATCTTCTACTTAAAAGTTACGACTCTCTCAATGAATCTTTTATCGATAGGCAAGCTATTCAATAATATTAAATAGAACCATATCAATATAAAATCGATCTAGTCTGGTAATTGTTACAATATTTTGCTTGTATATGTAAGGATGACTCTTTGCAGATTCTTTTTTTTTCAAGTTTATTGGATATGATTTCTATCAAAAAAAAACACCATAATTTCAAGTTTTCTTTTTCTCTTATTTGCACTGAAAACATGAGCGAACACGATATGAACTAGTAGAGAACGCTACCTCATAAGTTGAATCATTCAGAATTAAAGAAGTCAACCTGCGAAACACATCGCCGAGATCATAATTCTTTCTTTCTCTGCTTTTTTTTTATTAAGTTCTTCTTTTATGAACATATGTATGCATATGCTCTTTCAATGAAAAAAATCAATTGAATATCATTTGTATTTATTTGATCGATGATCACATCAAACAGTATGGAAAACAAAATAGAATGAATCGCATTTGTTGAGTAGCAGACACATTAGTAATATAGCAGTTGGTCAGTCTCTCTTTCTCTCGATATGTGACACTAATTGACTCTACTGTGCTCATAAATCAGTATGTTATATGGTATAGAAAGTGAGAAGAGACTTGTCATCAAAGTGTTAGAAAGACTCGCAAACTCCCACCAACATGAAAAAAGAACAAGGGAGGGGGAGACACACAGGGAAGAAAAGAAATTGAACATTTTCTCTTTCTCTTCGATTATAACCAATCATTATTGATCTCTCGCTCTTGTTCTCTTTCTCTCTCTGTGTTTAACATTATGAACATTGATATTCTCATCGTCATCAACACCTTCATTTCTAACTACGCAATAAATATATATATATATATACGTATAAATAGAAGAATCGTCAACACTTGCAGTTTTCTCTCTCTCGCGTTCTTATCCTCGAATCAGATCTTATCAAGTCAATGAGAAGATTTACAACAATATATTATATTGATTAATATATATAAATCATTCAAACCATGCTTTCACATTGACATATTCATACGATCGATTGTTTCAATCTATAAGCAATGAAGATATCATTTTTACTTCTATTTATTGTAATCAATTCGAGTGAACAATGGTTGTAAGTAGAATTTTTGAAATATCTATAACTTTAAATGGTTTGATCATATCCTATATGATATAATTCCTTTTCTTTTTCCTTTTGATTTCTGAATCTACATCAGATATTAATGAGATTTGACTCATTAGCTTCTTTTTTTTCTTCGAAAAAACAAAAAGAAATCTTCTATTTCATTTAATTTGTCTTGCGAGAATATTAATGAGAGTAAATGATTATCATGGATGACGTAATGAACGTAACGAAAAGAAAATCATCTGTATACATTTCGACATGCACATAGTTCATTATTTGATATTTTTATTCTTCTTTACTTATGCATATTTAAGAAGAATAGGAAACATTTAAGCACGTACATTCACAAGTCGTTTGATTTCGCTCATTGGATGTATCTATGACGAGAAAATAAAGATCAATGACCTCACCATGTGGGTAAAACAAACATATAAACAGCATGTGGTTATCATTTCAAATATATCTTTTATTTACATTTGAAAAATAATATAAATGTTTATTGATCATAAAAATTTGAAACTTGGACAAATATGTCATAAAAATAAAAATTGAGTCGAAGGTCAAAATGAACACATGTGCATTGAAATTTTCCATTTTTGTCTAGATCAATCGTTCAAGTACCGGATATATCATTTGCTACGCAAAGTCTTTGCCATGCAAAGTATGGTCTTAGCTATAGGCAAATTCGTTTTTGCCAAAGAAATGAAGCTCTCATGCCATTTATTCGTTTTGGTACAAATTTAGCATTAGAAGAATGTAAAATACAATTTAAAAATCGACACTGGAATTGTACTCTATTTAAAGACAATCAATTAATTGGAAATATTCTTGATTCAGGTTTATCAAATTTGTTGAAAATTTAAACAAAAAAAATCAATAACCATATTGTTTTGCTTTCTTAAATATAATAGGAACAAAAGAATCGGCCTATATTCATGCATTAACATCGGCTGGTATTGCTTATGCTATAACAAAAGCATGTAGTACAGGACGACTTAGCTCATGTGGATGTGATATGTCACTGAATGATAGAAATTCAAATAGTTCTATTCGATGGACTGGCTGTTCTGATAATGTTTTATTTAGTTCACAATTAGCAAAAAAATTTGTTAATCTTCGAGAACGTATAACAAATAATCGAACAAGCCTCTTAAATGTTCATAATAATCAAGTTGGAATTCGAGTAATGAATTTTGTTTTTCAATTAAAAACAAAATATTTATCACATGGATTTTTCTTCTTCTCATTTTCAGACGCTTCTTGCTTCTGTCGATCGTCAATGTAAATGTCACGGTGTATCAGGTTCATGTGAATTTAAAATATGTTGGCGTTCATTAAATTCATTTACACAAATAGCTAAACAACTCAAAGAATATTACGACGAGTCCATTGAAATGCGTTTGCAACGAAGTTTATTTGATAAAAAATTACGTTTTATACCACGCAATCTTCCATTTCATATCGATAAACAAACCATATCAACAGCATTTAAAAATGATTTAGTTTATTACAAATCAAGTCCAAATTATTGTGAAACGAACCTATCATCAGGTTCATTTGGCACCGCAGAACGTGTTTGTAATCGAAATTCACGTGCTATCGACGGATGTGAGTTACTTTGCTGTAATCGTGGTTATCAATCTCAAATAGTGACTGTACATGAAAAATGTAATTGTCGTTTTCAATGGTGTTGCTATGTTCAATGTCAAAATTGTGTTACTACTCAAGAAATAAGTCGTTGCTTGTAAATATTGAATATATAGATATATATTATAAGCGAGTTTGTTGGTTTTGTTTTTCTCGTTTTGTTTTTCTTCTTATCTCTTTTTGCATTTGTATGCCGCTTTTTCTCTTCGTTGCTCTCAGTTGAATAACTATCACTCGCTTTTCTTCTTTTTTTTTTGTCTTTTTCCTTTTTTTTATTCGCAGTAATGTACCGAAGAACTTTTAACTGTTGGTCATTAGTAGAAAATGAAATCGAGTGTAGCCGATTGACTGTCTGAACAATGAATTATGAGTAAATGTGTACGCACGCGAACAAAGCCATTATATGTTCAATCAAATATGATAAATGAGAGTGAACTAGAAGCATTTTAACATATTTTCTTCTTTTGTTTTCTTATTGAACATATGCAGAACTATATTTATGATAAGTTCTCTAAGCTGATAATTTTCTGCGCTTGACGAAAGACAATATTGAGAGTGAATGAATGTGTTTGAAATCAGTCGAGACAGTCAAATTAAAAAAAACTGAGAAATCAAATGAATTTATCCATTAAAAGCATTTTCTTGTTCTTTGTTCGTTAGAATACAAAAAAAAGAAGCTGTATGTTTAAATAAATATCTAATACTATTTAGTTTACACAATCGTCGTTTGTCATCTATATAAACATAATTGATACCATTTTCAAGACAAAAGAAAAACACATTTCATTCTTCCATTGCTTTCAACAATATCGAAGTCAATAAAATTAACAGAAGCAACTATATGTAATTAGCTTTAACATGAGATGCATATCAAGACGATTTATATCAATATGAAAATTAATTATGGAATTTAAAATAAATACAAATCGCTGCAACTTCTCGTGTCTGATAGCGTCAAACATCCCTATTAAATTGTCGTAATAGTACATTTATCAAGCTGTAGACACAGATTTTTCGTCACACTATGTTAATACCTACCACGTTTGTTACTTGGAATTTGTTTTTAGAGAGAATAATAATTACAGAAAAAATACTGGAAAGAAAAATCTTTGTCAACCATTGAATAGATTGTCTATTTCATCACTAATACATTGGAACAATCAGTTTATTGTCATGTTTTATTATTTCACAAATTTTAAAGTATCGCTATCGATACATTCTAATTTTATAATTGATTGATGGTAATAAATCATGAATAATTAGATTTTCGCCCATTTCTATTGTCATTCATTTCTGTTCACAGCAAATAAATGAGCAACATATGATGTCGTAAAATGCAAATCATATATAATAAGTTAGAAACGCTTTCCTCTTCATATTTGATTTGGATACACTTTTTTGTTTGGTGATGATGCACTTGTCACATAAGCAGAACATAAGTGTCGACTCACATGATGCCATTTTTTCTTATCTTTGTGGTGTTAAGTTTCACAATACAGTTTGTATTTTTTGGTTGAATGCGCATTCGGAAAATATTCGCTTAACAATACATGTTGTTCAATACAGATAGCATCTAAATCTGAGGAGGATACATGCAGCTTAGGTATTGAGTCATTGAAGAATCAAATCACACCGTCATCTACTTTGTTTTGTGTGAGTATAATCAAATTTTCAGCGTTGCAAACATCATTTTTTTTCTTTTTTTAGATTTCATAGCTTGTTTTTATTTATTTTTAAATGACAATTCTGCAAAATTTTGAGTAAAACTATATAATTGAATCTATATTTGTGATGACGTTTTAGTTCAATGCGTTTGCTAATAGTGTAGAAATATTATACAACAAGTGTCATTAAAATCAATCACACTTCAGTTAATCGCTATTGTTCGTTAAGTTCAACACACGTAGGTATTCATCTTCAGATCGTCAACTATCAGGAAACGCTAGAAAAAAAATTGATTAGATTTTTTTCATTTATATTTAAACAAGATGATCTCTAGACTGAGAAAATATTTTCAATCATATCTATCAATATAGGAGCTCGCGTGCATTTAGGAATTAGTATTGAACAATGTTCTATGTAATGAAAAGTTACTTTCGATGTAGCATAAAAATGTCTATTGTTTTGTAGCTCATATTTTCCTACACATTGTAATAACATTCCCATTGTAATATTCATCATTGTGCCTGTCACTATGGTCAGACATACGGATATACACATCGATTGAGTGCAGTATACTCTTTTGATCACGATCTGTTACTCTTGCATAATATAACCAATGATCGATGTTATTTATTGATTGTCATCTGTTCATTCATAATGAATTGATGCACATTTATATCTGTCGTCGCACATCAACGAACATACTCACGAATATAACTTGTTCATAAATTAACTAATAGTCATAATATTTGAGAAAAATAAGCATATGATAATCATAGAATAGACACTGACTATGACAAAGAAAAAAACTTAGTAAACATTGGTAAAATTCCTTACGGCTTGTTCTATTAAAATATATGAGAAAGTCGTGTCTCAGAAGCATACTACATTTTAACTAGATTCACAGTAATCTATCTTGAGCAAACGAGAAAACGGCTCCAGTCAAAGTGGTAGTATACTACAGGCAAATTTTCGTTCTATTTCCATTCCGAACAAAAGCCATGCCTGGAAGAGAGAGAATCTGTTCGCATGTAGACGATAATCATATACAATGCATAACATAGCACACCGCAATTAAAACTATGTGTTATCAACAGTTGTTATGGCAGGATGAAAAATTCGTAGAACTGTTCTAATTGAGTAGTTATAGCTATAATTGTTTATTTATTTAACGAAGAAAATAACAGTATCCAAGCTTTGGGATTAATCATTGTATTTTAAAATCCTTATGTTACCATTTATTCTCCTATCATTACTTCTGGATACCAATGATTTATTGGAACTTTCGCATGGATATACGTTATATAGCAATTGAATTGGTAATAGATTGTCATGAATTTCTTTTTAAATTTCATTCAAACTGTGAGCCATGAGCAGATGAGAAAAATAAATCCTTCTGAACCAATCATCATGCATTATAGTATTTAAAGAAAATGGAAATAGTATATCTATGCATTATTATCAAATATCGATATCAAACACAAGCAAAAGAAAGAAAAAAAAGCAAACAAAAACAAAAAGATAATTTTTTTAAATAATTGGTTGATTAAGTTGATTTGTTTCTAAATATTGTTGAGAGGATGCTCGAGAAGTCGTTCGTACCGTTTTTCTTCTTGCAAGTTGTTCATAGTCAGCTGACTTTCGCTTTCTTGTTGTTCTATGCGTTTGCCGTTGCTTTAATGAAACTGGCTTTTTCCGTGTTCGAACACGGGATAAATCATTCAATTCAATAGGCGCATCGCTAAATCCAAGTAGAAGCACTGAATTTTCATATAATTCTGATGATATACGTGAAATATTATTTGCAATACTCTGTGCTTTCTGTTTACGTGTTAAATATGTATGAATATCACTTGCAACAACAAGACCAGCGATAGTAGCAATCAATAATATTGCAACAACACCAAATGATCTACTCGCTGCTTGTAATAGAACAGTTTGTACATGTTTTCGTTCACAATTAATACCGTAGAATCCATCGAAACATGAACATGCATATTTTTCTATGCCATCTTCGCAAATTCCATGAGTGGAACACGTAATTTCCTTGCAATTATCAATATTTTCTTCACAATGTTCACCACGAAAACCTGCTAGACAAATGCATTTCTCAATTGATTTATTATGTCTGTCATATAGTTGAAATAAACTTCCACCATTTAAACAATAAGCCGATGGAAATTCTGACCTTTGACAATGATCACCTGATGTTTTTGGTGGACAGTCACATTTATAACCAACATCTCCAACATCGAAACGTGAATATGATGAATCATAATAATTAGGCATAACAGATACACATGTACCACCATTGTAGCATGGATTTTGTTGTTTACATATATCAAAAAATAATGTTAATGGTTGTTCACGATCACATGATTGTTTAAGCATATGTACTCGAGTAAAAACTGGCCCAATGTAAAGAGGTGCTCGATTACCATAACGAATCGTTCCTGAAAATAATAAGCAAACATATATTTATAGTACATTCAATTTAAAAACAGAAAAAGAAACAATGAACATTGCTTTGCTTTCTTTTTGTTATATTTACCATTTTTTGAAAGATTTAAATTAATCTCTAAACTGCTTTCATTTGTACAAAAATTATCATCAAAATAAAGTTCAGCTGTTGCGGAATCAACTTGTTGTACACGCACATTCATATTATCTGTTTTAGTAAAATTCAATTCAAATTGATCACTTCTCACATGACCAATAATAACATCAGATACAGAAGATTTGGTACGATTTCGATTGGAACCGCTGTCTGTTGCATTGACTGTTAATGAAAATTGTTTTGTTTGTACGCGATCAACTTGTAAATTAATTGGAGCACCAACTATTTTTGTTGATAAACTAGTTGCTTCCATATTTGTAAATGTTAAATTCGTTGTTGCATTTGAATTTGTTGAAGATGGTAATACAAGATCAAGAACAAGACTTTCATTTGAAGTTAATGATAAATTCCATGATGACGGTGGAAGATCAACTAAATTAAAATAAATAAATCGTTCCGTTGATGAATTAGTTGATGTTGACGTATTGCTAATTAATTGATTAAGTATATCGTTAGATAAAATTGTAGTAGAATCATTATTAATGAATGATGGTTTAATAATAAATGTTTGTTCTGGTTCAAAAATAGTCCGTTCTGAAGTATCAGTTGGTAATTGTGTAGATGTTGCTAATTCATAATTTAATGAGATATAGAAACAATGAATTATTTAATAAAAAAGAAAGAAGAAAAACACGTATTACATACCCTGATTGAAGGTTGTTTGATATGAAGATGTAATTGAAGTAGTTGGCAATACGATGGTCGATAATGGTTCTGTCTGCCAAGTAGTTACCTGTTGTTTTCGAGTTCTATATCGACGAGTCGATGTTGTCGGTGGAGATGTTGTTTGTGTGCTTAGTGGTAAAGAGAATTTTGATGATGAATTACTTACATCAACAGTCGTACGTTCAAACGCTGTAAAAATTTTCGATTTATATGTTGACGGAAAGCGCGTAGATGTGACGTCGAACGAAGTAGACTCTTCTTGATATGTGTCAGTCGTTTTCAATGGTTGAGAAGTGAGTAGGGAAACATTTATTTCGAGCGTAGTAGGCAAAGTCGAATGTATTGACATTTTGTCGGATATTATTATCGGTGAAGAATCAAACTTAGTACTAGGAATAGAAGTAGCTGTTATCGATTGAACATCAGTAGAGAATATATCTGTAGATTTAAAATAAGATGATGGTGATGATGATTCGATTTCGGTTGATGCAAGTTGCAATGTTGTATACGTATCAAATGCTGTCGTTGATGTTAAATACGGTTCAGATGTTACTAGTAGAGAAGAGCTAGTCATCAATGTTGATGGTACTATAACGGATGTCGTCGTTTCGTCAGTTGTTTGTATATTTGAATGCTTATTTGACGTTTGTAAAATATCAATTGATGACGTGAAATCAGTCGAACGTGAAGGTCCTGTTGTTGCTGTTAATTTCTTTCTTATGATTGTGTTTGTTTCTGAAAAGAGTTGTGATGATGAGAGTCGAGTAGATTTTGCGAATCTAGTACTACTCGTATATGCAGGTGAAGGATGCAATGACGATGATGATAAAGGCGAACGCTGTGAAGAAAGCAGGGTCGTGCTAGATATAATAAACGGTGATAATATGCGAAGGGTAGAGGAAATATTGACACCTACTGATACTGCTGAAGAAGATTCATGTTTCATTTCATCTTTGAATTTTTGATTAAAATAACCGGATGTTACATTTGAAATTAATGTTTGATTGGTCATCAAAGTGGATTTTGTTGAAGTTTGTTTGTGATGAATAATTTCATCTTGAATTGATTTTGATTCATCATTGAGATCATGTCTCGAAGTATCGAAGGTGTTTGATGTGTTATTGGTTATAGATTGATTCTGTAAAATGCTACTGTTCGGAGTTTTCGGAGAAAAGATCTGATTTTTATTAACAGGAAAATGTACACCTGATTGATTAGTTGCTAGCGAAACGTCGTCCATGTGAGTAGTATTAACATCCGAATGTACTAGTGATTCTGATGGCGTACGGTTAGTTTTGATATCAACAGGATATTTCGTACGAAATCTTGCAGCTTCATCTGTTGAAATATTTTTAACTTTGTTTGGTATTAATTCGTATGGAGTCACTGAAGAAAATGTAGAATGCGGTTTTGATTTGAATTTCGTTATAAAAATAGAAAGATTAACGTGAGCATCATCTTCTTGGCCTATCGCGTGTTCATTATAGTTAGTGAAGTGCAAAGTAGAACCTTTATCAGCGTGGATTCCATTGGGTTTAGTTACAAGATTATGATCTTTCAAAATTGATGAATTATGTATATTCGATTTGTCTTGAGTAAGTCGTTCGGATGACGATATTGTTGATAAGCGATGCATCGACTTATCAATTTTAGATTTTTTATCTGATAAGATTGTTGTTAGAATTTCTTTTGCTTCGTCAGTGTTCATTGATACCGTTGAACGAGTTGACCATGATGATAATTGATTAGCGCCATCTCCAGACGAATCGAAAGGCTTTTCTTTGTTTTCAGTATCATAATATTCATCGTGGCCGTCGGACGATGGGTTCTTAGTTGATTTTAACAATTGAGAATGTTCATTGAATGTATGAATCTGCAAGTTGCTATCGTAATTGGAATCGCTAGAAATATTCTGATGCTTTTCAATACTCTTATCCAAATCATGAGTTTGATTGCCAATCGATTGCCAAGGTCTTTGTAAAATTGTTGTACGTGAACTTGTAAAAGGTTTCATGGATGATAAATTCTGTGAAACATATTTCGATGGCGTCACGCGACGACTTGTACTATTAAAATCTTTTTCTGGAAGCGAACTAGGATGCAATGATCCAGGTGACTCTCTGAACGAAACGTTTGTTAGCCGATCTGGAACAATCCATGATTCATTATGAGGTGTTGGCTTCCCGGTACTTGTGAAATATCTTGAGAATACATTTCCATTTGAGGATGTTTGTTTTGCTAAATAAGCTTGAATCTTTGCTTTTTGAATTGAAGAAAGATTACTACGTCCTTGCAAATAAGATTGCACATCATCGTCAGAAAATATTATTCCTTCTGATGCAGTGGATGCACTGAAATCTTTCGAATCCGATGGTCGTATTGTGGTTAGATAATTTCCCGGATATGTACGTGCATTTTTGTCGTAAGGATCAACTTTATTGTCTGATGGATTTATTCCGATTGGTACCTTCGTGATCGTTGAAGATCTTGAAAGTGAACTTTGGTTCGATAGTGATTGTTGATTTAGATAAATTTCAATTTTTTCTTTTTGCTTCTTCGACAAGTTTGCTCGTCCTTCTAGAAATGATCGTAACTCGTCATCGGAGAACATAATTCGTTGTGAATCTATTGTACTAGTTAAGTTTTTCGATTCAGATAACTGTAGCTTTGAATCATAATCTTGCAATTCTGTTTCTTCGCCTTTATCATCAGGTTCTACGCTATCTTCAGATGTAGATATTTTAACTGGCGACTTCAAGCCTGCCTGATAATTCGAAAATATACTTTGATTAGCGGATGATTGTTTGCGTAGGTAAGCTTCAATCTGTATCTTTTGGTCCTGCGATAAGTTTACATGATCTTGTAGAAAAGACCGTAGATCGTTATCGGTAAATGTTACTCCTTGTGTATCTATTGTGTGTCTAAAATCTTTCCAACTGCGTAATGGTGTTGTTCCTGAATTATCTCGAAACTGTGTATTATTCTTTCCACGCAGAGAATTTACGCGCTCATCTGGTACTTTTTTGTTAGCTGTTTGGCTGGTATTAGTCGAATAATTTGAGGGCGTAGTGCGATCGGACGATATTTGTTTATTTAAATAAGCTTCTATTTGGGCTTTTTGATTCGGCGATAAATTCACGCGATCTTCTAGTAACGATCTGAGATCATCACCGGAAAAAATTATGTCTTGCGTGTCCATGGTTTGATTGAATTTTTTCGAATCAGCAAGTGGTTTCTTTGTTAAATAACTTTGTAAATATGTATTTTCACTTTCGTCATCACGATATTCGTTACGATCCAAGGAATATACGTCAGTAGGTGATTTTGTGACGATAGGATACTTTACATATATACTTCGATTTAGTGACGACGTTTGAGAGAGATATGTTTCAATGTGAGATTTTTGACTTTTCGATAAATTTGCTCGACCTTCTAGAAAAGATCGTAACTCGTCATCTGTGAATATTATTGCTTGAGAGTCTTTTGTTCCATTTAAGAATTTTGAATCAGACTTTGGTGTCGTTGGGTAGCGACTTTCATGTTTCTCATCTAATTTGCCATTCATTCCATGAATTGTTGTTAGTATTTGTGTACTTGTCGAGAATTGATTTTGATCCAATGATGAGTTTCTACTTAAATAAGCTTGAATTTGAGCTTCTCGGTTCGTTGAAAGGTTAGTGCGACCTTCTAAGTAAGCTCGTAACTCGTCTTCAGAAAAGACGATATCTTTCGAAACAGTGAGCGGCTGAGAAGTTTCGGTCTGATGAACAGTATGCATGTTGTCATCTGCGGTATGTATTTGCGACGTTTGGACTTTATTTGAAACATAACTTGCACTCGTGCTACTTGTACCATATGATGATTGTTTATTTAAATAAGATCGAATCTTTGCTTCTTGCTTTTGTGATAAATTTGAGCGACCTTCCAAAAACGATCGCAAATCATCTTCTGTGAATACTATATGGTCTGTATCAACTGTTCGACTGGTATCTTTCGAATCAGATAGTGACTTTTTCGAATCTAGGCCCTGCTTCTGTGTATGTTCACTTCGATCATTGGCATATGCGTTGTCATCGATTGGATAAATGTTTACGGGTAGTTTCTTATGGATAGGATTCTTTACAGTTATACTTCTATTCACTGGAGAGGTTTGAGAGAGATGTGTTTCAATCTGCGTTTTTTGATTTTTAGATAAGTTTGCTCGACCTTCTAAAAAAGATCGTAAATCATCGTCTGTGAATATTATTGCTTGAGAATCTATGGTTTGGTTAAAGAGGTTTGGATCAGAAACCGGTGTTTTTGTTGAATAATTTTGCGAGTGTGTATCTTGAGATTGATATTCAGAATGCTTTTCATGCTCTAGTTTATTTGACTCAGCTGGTGTTTTTCCGTTGGTCGGGTATGTTGAAAATTGATTTGGATATCGCGATGATTGTTTACTTAAATATGCTTCAATTTGAGCTTGCTTTTTCTTAGAGAAATCCGCTCGACCCTCCAGAAAAGATCGTAATTCATCATTTGAGAATGATTTATCTTCATTATCTAGTGAAGCATTAAAATTGTCCAATTCGGAGGAGGGCTTTCTTGTAAGATTGCCTGATAATGGTGCTGGTTCGCGTTTGTGATCGCCGTTTACGTTTTCATTAGACGTATACAGTGCAGTTGGAGTTTTCGTACTTGTTGAATCAGATGAAAAAATATTCTGTTTCAATGATGATTGTTTGTTCAAATGTGCTTCAATCTGGGCTATTCGACTTTTTGACAGATTCGAACGCCCTTCTAAGTAAATGCGTAAGTCGTCGTCTGAGAATAAAACTCCTTCGATGCCGATTGTACTCTTTGAATGGTCCAAATCGAATAGTGGTTTCTTTGTTACATTGTCTTTAGCCAACGTAGTTTTGTTTGAGAGATCAGTATACATGTTATTATCCATTGCTTCTAGTCCAGCCGGTAATTTTTTGCTCTGAGAAAATGTTGAAACTGATGTAGTTCTATTCGACAATGATTGTTTATTTAAATAGGTTCGAATCTGCTCTTCTTGTTTTTTCGAAAGATTTCCTCGACTTTCGAGAAACGCTTGTACATCTTCATCAGAGAAGTATATTTCTTCTTTATCGATTGGGCGATCAATATTTTCTAAATCAGGAATTGGCATCTGTGAGGGATAATCTTGTGAATCTGTTTCATGAGGTGTATGTTTAGTAGTTGGTAGATTTTTACTGTTTAAGTGTTGCGAACTTGCACTTCGATTCGATGCTGCTTGTTTAGCTAGATAAGCTTGAATTAGTTTCTGTTTAGCCAACGACAAGTTACCTCGCCCTTGTAAATATGATTGTAAATCGTCGTGAGAAATAGATATTCCGTCTGAGTCAGTGAATCGCTGTATATCTTCTGAGTTGATTTGTGGTATCGTAGTATTTTCATGCATATTGTCAGTTGTATAGATGTGACCTGGTAGTACTGTGCCGATTGGATATCTCGAAAATATATTTGGACTCGACGATGATTGTTTACTTAAGTAAGCTTGAATCTGTGTCTCTCGTTCTTTCGAGAGATTTCCTCGACCTTCTCGATAAGATCGTAAATCATCTTCGGAGAATATAATCTCTGCCGTATCTGTTGTACGACTAAGACTTTTCGAATCAATTACAGGTATTTTCGTTGGATATTTTTGTGAGTACGTATTTTCAGTGTTACGGTCAGAATGAATACTATCACCGGTTGTACTTATTCTACCTGGTAGTCTTGCACTTGTTGAATATTTAGAAATTAAATCGCGATTGGATGATGATTGTTTACTTAAATAATCTTTAATTTGTTTCTCTTGTTCTTTTGAGAAATTACCTCGACCTTCTAAGAACGATTGTAGAACATCATCGGAGAATAATGTTGTGTCCGTGTCTGTCTTGTGATCAAGAACAGTTGTATTTGATATTGGTGTTTTTGTACCAGTTGTAAATTGAGAAGTGATGGTTCGATTTAATAATGATTGTTTTTCCAAGTACGCTTTAATTTGTGTCTCTTGAGTTTTCGAAAAATTAGCTCGACCTTCTATGAATGCTTGTAAATCATCGTCGGAGAATGGGCTTTCTTTTGTTTCAGTTGTTACGTTTGCAAACTTTGAATCGGATAAGGGACGCTTTGACGTATAATCGTGTGAGTGATTATTTGTATGTATTGATAGATTTTTTTCTTTTTCAATTCTTGCTCGTAAATCACCATCAGATATGATGGATTCAGTTGTGTGTTTCGAGAATGATTGAGAATCGAATGATGTATTTTGAAGTAAATAAGTTTCAGAATGAACGTTGTTTTGTAATGATTTATTTAATTTCTGTTGTGAATCATGATGAGTATTGTCAACCAATATATGATCAGGATCCGAGTTCTTTGATCGATTACTATCAGATGAATCAGGAGTTGATGGTACAGTAGAAATATTTCGAGTCTGCAAATTTTCTTTACTGATTGCTGATATTTCCGAGTCGACAGAATTATTTTTCTCTAGTTGGCTAGGATTTGATTTTCGAAATTCAGAAGAAGGTTTTCTCGGTGCAGAAAAGAATTGTGTATATTTCTTTGTTTTATTTGTTTCCGACGGTAATAAATATGATAATGGCCACAGTATTGGCATACTGATATCATCCGCTGTAATATCAGCAGAATTGAAATTTTCTTCTTGATTGACAGCTATAGAAAATAAGGGAAGGGTAGTAATACACAAAGCAGGTTACAGGTGATTTACAATAATAGAAGCAAACTAAATTGATACAATCTGTTTTTCTTACCTGGCTGTCGAGTTGTGAGGAAAATTTTTTCTCCTTCTAATATAAAAAGAAAAACATCAAATCATGTATGTTAATGAGCAGAAATAAAAATTCTTGTTCATTTACCAGTAAAATAAAGAAAATTAAACATCCAATAAGAAGGCAATTTTTTTGCATTTGTTCTAATTGTCGCATAGACATATGTAGTTGAATTAAATCGTTCAAGTGTTATTGGTAAATCTGATGCTTTGGAAAAGACACTTCGTATTGTCGAAAACGTTTTAAGAAACATAACTAATATCATTGAACGTGTAGCAACATATCTATATTTAAAATAAGAGAAAAAAATCAAATTAAAAAAAGTATCAACGAGGAAAAAATCAGCTAAACTTACAAATGATTACATTCATCTGTAATTAAACCAAATGGTTGTTTAATTCCATTAGCTTTTATTATTTTTCCAAAATGTAAACGAAAATCGTTTGTTATATGTAATTCATATATTAAATGTTCTTGTTTACTAGCGTAATAAACCGAACCATCTGATGATACAACAATACTGCCTTCATTCAATGTTCCATTCATAATTGTTGGTTCACCAACTAATGCGCCTGTATTTGTTTCAAATACGGCATAAACTAGACCAATATCTGTTGATATAAATAGAAGAGATTTATTTGTACCAGCATGATCACGTTTTATTGTAAAACCGTTTAAACGTAAATCCGGTTGATCGTATTGAACAGTTATTGTGCCGATACATATATTTTCTTCGAATTTTAAGCTAGGCGTATCAAATTGTACTTCGCATACGCGCAAAGAGATTATGTTTGACTCGGTATTTGTTTCATATATAAAAAATAGTTCATGTTGAGACTCTGATGATAGTGATGCACACGATGTTGCACCAACAATATCTGTTGTATTTACATTGGCAATAGGTTGAATTGTGTGACCATTATAAACATGTATTTGATGTTTTGGTTCAATGAATATTAATAAATCATCGATAGGTGAATAAGCAAGAAAATTTAGGCCATAATAACGTGACGTGTAAGATATATTTGATGGCATTTGAGACGTTTGATATTTACCATAGGAAAGCATTGCCTGAAGCTAAATAATAATAGCATAGAATTAGGTTGGTTTTATTTAGTTTCAGTTTTTGAATTTTTTTCCTGAAAGTACCATTTTGGAACATATATTCTTAGAAAACAAACATAGTTGCAACTACAATATTTTAAATAGTACAAAATGAAACGGTTGGCCGTTCAAAGGTCGAAAGGAAAAATGTCGAAAAAAATATATTATTGTGGAAAATGATCGAAAAGAGTGTTTTCGAATTCTGACTTGAGAGAAGTGTGTTTCATTGTGTACGTTAATACTAACATATGATAATCGAAATATATTCATTTACTATTAGCAATTGTTTTCCTTTTNGACTGGTAGAATTATGGGAAAAGAAAACATGAATTATTCGCGTTTGGAATCATCATTTACTGTAGACATCGCTATTTCGTTTATTTCGAATTTTGACATTTTTTTGTGGTAAAATGTATTGTTCGACGTTTTTATGTTTTTTTCGACATTATTCCCTTTCGATATTTTTCCTTTCGACCATTTTCTTTTCGACATTTTTCCCCTTAAATTTTTGCTTTCGACATTTCTACGGCACACCAATAAAACATGATGTTACTGCTATTCATAATGACAGGTAGATATTTTTATTCTATCGTTTAAATTACAATTCTCTAGCATACTATGATTTAATCATCGTTCAAAAATATTTCATTTTAAAAGTTACTTGGTGAGCTGTTTCTTATATGTCTGTGATCAGTGAGAATGCAAAACTCTGCCACTGCATACTTGAAAGTTTCTTTTTCCCATTCTTATTTTACAAAACGATTATAACAAAGAGGGTTTTCTGTATATTGATCGCTACTAGTAATATAAATATATACTTTTTATGCTTTCAATCAAAAGAAAAACAAATTATCCGATCTTGAATTTAGTTTGGATGAAAACTAAAAAGCAAACATTTTTATTCTTGATCTTATTTTATTAGCCGATAAAAAATTTATAAACACGTTCTATTTTAGATTTTCCAAGGAAAAACAATTCATTAAAAACAAGATATTTATTTTGCCCTGCTAAAGCAAGCTCCTTCGTGTAGAACAAAAAACATGAAATACCTGAAAACTCACATCCAGAATATTTATTCTATAATTACTCTCAATATGGTTAAACGGACAACACAAACTATTTTTAACGGATTTTATTTGTATGAACTCATTTAGAAGATTATGTATTGAGAGAAACGAATTTTCTCTTTACTGTTTGCGCATGTTATTAATAGACGGTTGTAAAGACCTTTCAGCTGCATGATTTACAGAAAAAGAAAAGAAATACTGAACAGTTTTTTTTTATAGGCTACTTATGATTGCCAACAGAGCATCATAGACAGTACACAAATGACTCGAAGGATTTCCTTCGCAGTTCGAAATCAAAATCTTTTGGACTGATTGTATTCTCGAGAGGTAGAGTTTCATATAAAATTTATTTCATTAATAAATAGTAGTAGGATTCGATGTGTCCTTGATAGTATACTTCGATTAGAATTTTGTATATAGTGGAAATTAATATTTGATCATCAAATTGATTGTACGTGAGATATCACGGAAAAGCAAATCTGAAATCTTGGTTTTTTTAACTTGAATTAAATTTTTCTTATACATACTTCGGATTTACGTATTCAAAACTATGATTTATGTTTCTGTTTGCGAGTTACGCATCTACCATCTGTATACTGTAATCGATTTCTGACATGCATTGTCTCTAGAGAAGATTTTCACACGCTACTATGAAAGAGTACAACAATGTTTGTAAGAAATCTTGTGATTATTTCACAAATAAAAGTGTTACATAAGATTATAGTTCTTGATTATATTAAAAATACAAGTTTTTACAGAACAAAAAATACGAAACAATTGTGCCTGCTAGTTCTACCGTAAACATTGATATGAATCTTTTACTTCATTGTTTCTTGTAGAATAAATATCAATCTAACTTTTATTTTCCATTCGTCAAAATAATTAAAAAGCGAAAAATACCTTCTCAAACAGTTCAAATGAATGAATTAATGACATACCCTTGTACATAGTTGGTTATCAGTAGATTGAATAATTGGTCTGGCACTTTCTAAAATTTTTGATGATTATTTCAATTATTAGCTATGCTGATTAAAAAAACACTAATAAATCATACCAACAATAAGAATGCGTCGAGCAAGTAGCAATACCGAATACAAGCTAATCAATGCTTTATATTGAAACCAATCAATACCATCAGCATACATTTCGAATATAAATTAAAGATCAATAATAATAATAATAGACAGCAGTGATCGTTCGTAATAGTATCACATTTCTGAGCGTATATATATGCACCGATCAATTTCTAAACATTTTTCTTTCATTGCCAACGTCACCGCATTCTTCCCGCTTCCGTTGGGACATAACATGCATGAACTATTAAAAAATCAGTTGTCGTTATGATGTGAGCAAAAATAACTAAGAATGTTTTATAGTCGATTCAGTAAAGAAAAAATGTTTCAGGATATACTCTGGCAGTATGCACTAAGTTTCCACTCTACCGTCATTTATTTATGACAGAGCAAACGACAAAGCTAGGAGTAGTAAAGTGATTACTCAAGAAATTAAAGTAAGGGTCGAATAGAAGAAAAAAAAGGAAAACGTTTCGTTATTGTTGTTGTCGTCTCTTGAGAAACAGTACATAGGTGTGTGGATCGACGGACGACAAGAGAAGAGAAAAACGGAACTAATCTAGTTACAAGAAAAAGAACGGAAGTTAATCGAAAATAAGGTAAAGCTAACCAGTCTTTTGAAGAAGAGAAGGACAGAAAGAAAATGCTGACACAATAAGCATTCAATCGGTTGATCGCTTGCTTTAGTAATCAAAATTTCTCTCTTTCTTCTCTATCTCTCTCTCTCTCTCTCTTCATATCTAATTTTAACGTAATTTATATTCAATAGTGTTTATCCTCTACTGAATAAATCAAGTGTACCTTGTAAAATTAAAAACAGGAAGAGTCAATAGTTAGGCGCATCACACAACATCAATATATGAAAATGTATGTTGAGTTTCTAGGCCCTTCGACCAAATAAACTATTCTTTGTTGCTTTCTTTTATTAACTATGTATACCTTAGGGCAATAAAATTTATCAAAATTGAAAAAAAAATATTTCATAAATTATTTTCTTATTAATGAAGTATTCACATCAATAGATATGCTCAAATTCATTGTCTTTTTTGCTATGATGAAATGTTTTTAAACTAAAACAAATCGTGTTCATTTACAATAATCAATCTTTCTTACTCGATCAATTGAATATTTCAAATGTCACGAAAACTTGACTATTGTATAATTAGAATTTCCGATAAATAATTCAAATATTTCAGTAATATATAGAAAGATTAATGTTCTTTCATGATATACTACAAAAATAATTGATATTTTTTCATATAATATTTGAAAAACAAATTAATCTATTGTGACTTATTGGCTCGATGAACTATATGCTTTTAGACTTTTCCCTTCAGCTTCTATTATGCATTATTAAGTGATTTTAACAAAAAATTATTGATGAAGACCCCTCAGGAACCAATTTCTCTTTTTTTTTCAATAGCCACCTGTATTTTTATTCGAGTGCTCTGATCGTGATGATTGAATATGCATTAGAATTAAAAAATATTAGAGTGAAACATTTTAGATTGTGGCTGTTGAAATTTGACAAAAAACACCTGTGAACAGCTAGAAATCTATTTGACTATTTCTACAATGAACTATGAAATACGGCTAAAAAAAACCAAAGAATACTCAAATGTATAATATTTTAATCATTACCATGTGATTAATAAACGGTACGACATTCGATAGATAAATGTATACACGTGACATCATAATCGATTGTAATATAAAATAAATGTGGAAACTTCGGATTTCATCCGAAAGTTATGTGTACTGCAAAAAATGCATGGGATATATAAGTCATTCTAGAATGTCCAAACACCAAAATTGTCATGAGAAACTAGGCAATTTGATTTCTGGATGCAGTTTTTACGCATTTTGAGACGTTTTTCAGGCGATGTTTCGTTAAAAAGCTACGATTTAGTTCAAAACTAATATCAGACTCGGAATCATCGTTAAAAACTGAGTCGATTTATATATGTTGTGAAGGATTCTGAGAAAAATTTGATTTTTGAAAAAAATCCCTGTACTCCTCCACGGTGATCGTCTCGCCAAAAATGACAATTTTTTCGATAACTCGACCATTTCTTGAGGGATCCTTCTCATCTTCGAACTCGACCGAGATATTCATGAGATTGAACTGTGTGGAAAATTTCATCACGGTCTGACTCTCCTTTCGCAAGTTATCGTGCCTACGGCCGGCCGGACACACTGACGGATTCTAGAGTGTACTCACTTTTTGAGTACACAAAAACACTTCTTTGAAGTTATTTCAAGCTATTGTTAGTTCTCTTCTTCAGAAGAGGCCTATAAGGTATATGCAAGGGAGAGAACAATGATTCGTCCACTCTGGTAAGATCGTCTTGCATTCTGCGCTGAATTGGATCACCGTAAATAAAAGGTTTCTATTTATATCATTATTCAGCATATTTCGGTTGGTTTCAATTCAAATAAATTTCAATAATATTTCACATATTTCTTTTAAACGGGTTATATTGGTTGAATTATGCCAAACATTTGTAATGAAACTGTGCACATCCAATCAACAATTATTAATAGTCAAATATTTTCATTTTATTCATGATTCTAGATCTTATGGAGTATATTTCATAGGTTCAGTTGTAAAATGAACTTTCTCCAACGAATCAACTACCAACCTGAAAACTCTAATACATCATCGACAGTAGGAGATCATTTTCTCGAGTTGAACAAACAAGATTTATAATTAATGTGACAGAAATCAATATTAAATGAAAGAACATTGCTTTCAATAAGATTGAAGCGAGCTTGAATGGTGAAAAGATTAGAAAACTAGCGAAAGACCTACGCTTTTGATTGCCAACACTTTGAAGAAGACCGACTTGCGCAATAAGGAATAAAGAAAAGTCAAAATCAATCCGATTGTCATGTAGAGTACAAAAAAATTCACTAGAAATCACAATAGAATTAGAATTAGTGACGTTTCCTGATCATCAAGGAAAGATCGATGAAAATGCTCTTCTATTGCATTCTTTTCGCTACTATTGAAGATTTCTTCAATCTTATTAAAAACCCAATGTTCTTTCATTTAATATTGATTTCTGTCCCATTCTGACCCTACTGTCTATTATGCACTAGAGTACACAGCAGAGGTGTCCACAGGGCCAATTTTATTGCCCTGCCCTGCCCTGCCCTGCTAATCAGGAAGAATTTTTTTCATATTTAAATTCAAGTTTAAGTAATCCTTTTTATTTGAAAAATAGTTCAGCAAATAGATAAATGATCAGCAAATAATAAATTAGCGCTAATTGAAAAAGTGTATATGATGATATTGCATCATCACTGATGATCCATCAGTAGATCGGCTTGTCCACGTAACCCGCTACTTCGCTG